GTTAGGGAGAGGGGAAGAGAGAGACAGCCGCAGATAGAAAGGAAAGTGACAGAGATGAGGGGGGCGGGGGGTAGATAAAAGGGCTAGCAAAAACAGAGTGGAACAAATAGCTCGAAATAATGCAGACAGCGTTAAATGTTAGTACATACTTCTCGTTTGTCCTCTCCCACGCTTTGCTCTGATTGTAATGTTATTGCCGAGCGGAACGATCTATAAGTAGGCGTTCTTCTTTGTAAGAACGAAACTGAGCCTAACGTAGTGTTGCCACTCACTTTCGTTATACTGCTGTGTCTGAAAAGAAACAAACATTTCTCTCATCATTTACTTCGATGTGCGTGCCAAGACTTCAATTCACATCATCAATGGCTCAGTTGGCACCCTGCTGAACTACGGTGAGCATGATAACGGTTCGAATACACAAAAATCCTTTTTGTGCGCGAATTGATTTTTTAAATGGTGTCTTCTATCGGAGAAGGTCGTAACATTGAGAGACTTCATCCCTAAAATGACAGTTCGATGTTCCCAAAGGGATTAAACTTTGAACATACGTATATATCATCCCGATTTATCTTTTGAAACAAGGCCACACTTTCTCTCACTGGTCACACCTGTTGGAGACAAGCATTGAAAAAGGTAACAAATTGGTTTAGACGGTAATAATGTAGAGACCAGATGTTCTTTTTTCTTCACATCGGTGTGGGGGCTTGATTCGTCAGAAAATCTTTAGAGAGGAAGAGCCCGAAACAGCGACGCTTGAGTCCGGGATACGGAGCTTTTGACTGTGAGTAGTGCGTAATGCTGTTTTAGACGACGTACTTAAACTTTAAACGATATTGATATAATAGTCTCACCGAGTGGAAAAACTGCTATTCACCAAAACAGCTTCCGGGCTCCGACAAGGAAAACTGTGCTGTATTGTTCAGAGGAATGCTGGGTCAGTGCGAGACAGCTCGGGGCAAACTAATTGTATTAGTTCTGTTTAGCTCTACATATTTTTAGATGTGTCTTATTTGTGCAGATTGATACTGAATCTCAAGTGTGCTCATGACCTGATCAAATGTGAGGTATGAACTTACGTTTTGAGATCTTCTTGTTCTAACTAAAACAGTAAACCAAAAATAGATTGGTTTTGTTGCTTCTTGTGAGTCAGGGTAGCTGGTTTGTAGCACCAAGGCATGTCCCTTCTCTTGCATGAAGCAGTATAATATTATTGAGACTCTACTCTTACCTGAAATTTCCGATTTGCCCGGTGGTGGGCGTAATGGCGACGATTTTGTTGGCCGGATGCCCTAACCCGCCCTCCCAAAAAAACACCAAAAAAAAAACAAAAAAAAACCCATGAACAAACAAGCAAACAAAACGCACAGGTTGACGTTAATTTGGAGCAGCACTTTTCGTTTGCATTTCTAAGCCATTTTTTGAACGAGCGTTGCTTAAAATGTTTCACTGTGCATATCGTTTTCTCTGACCAGGACCGCTGTTATCTAGGTGGCTATCATTGTAAAGCACTTCTCTGAGGGGACAAAAGGTAGAAAACAACATGAACTTTAATTAATTTCTGTTCCATAAATTCTCACCAGCATCAGGGCGGACAAAGAAATATAGGGCGCCCTCCACTATGACCCACCTATCTCTCAGCGGTATATTGAACTATTCTTGTTTATTCACAGCACACCTTTCACCTCCCTTACTTACTGTTTGGAAACTTTCAAAGAAATAGTGAAAATACACGAAATACAACAAATCACTGTTGAAAACAGTGGCAGCAACAATGGGGTGCTAAAAGAACAAAGCAATGTAAAAAAAAATCTAAACCAATGAACAAACAAACAGGATAAAGGTAAAAATGAATAGAAGCCATGTTTGCTTGCTATCGAGGTCGACTGGCCACCTCGGGGGATTGTAGCTTGTGACAGCGAGATATGGCTGTAGGGCTCTGTGGGGCCAAAGTTCACAGGTGAAGAAATCAGTCGTGCCAGACAGCAGGATTTTTGGTTCCTGTATGGGCGTGGGGTTGGTCAGTTTTATCTTTCTATCTCGCAGGTTAAAATAGAAACAGTTCTCGGTCCTTTTCGATAACCGAGAACCAGCGCAGTGCCACCACAGCTCGTTCTCCATTCCAAGTTATCAGTCTGACGTTAGAATTCAGAAAAGATAAGAGGGAAGTGGACGGAGAGAGAGAGAGAGAGAGAGAGA